AGCCGCCCAGAGTCCCCCATTGGGGGGAGATGAGTGGGGGACAAATTTAATAAATAAATAATAAATAAATATACAATTAAAACCTATAACAATTCACATTCACAAAAATAAAAGGGAAAAATATAAAGTATAAAGTAGGTAACCAGTGCTTTTCAGGTATTCTGGCAGTCTTGATCATACCATGGTTGATTTGGGGGGGGGGGCAACAACCGCTATTTATAGGCTTGATTTTGACTATTGTGGTGAGAGATGGTTGTAGAATCTGAATCAGTTGGTTATACATGGTGAGGATATCAACTTCCATCTCTCCATCAGGGATTGCAGATCTAAGCTGAATCACTTTCTCTAAGGTTAATACTTGTGCCACTTTCCATTTCCGTGGGGGAGATCACTTAACAAGGATTGATCTGAGGTAGAAGCTGTTTGTTTGTTTCAGGGACTGAACATCATGAACTGCTTCCAGTGTGGAGTTTTAACTTCTAGAAAGCTACTTGACCACTTCCAGATGGTCAGATTGATATGCTCTGGCACAAATAGAATGTTCTGGACTTTTCCAGAATATTCAATTTCTGGAAGAGTAAATCTTTACATTCCCAAAGCTTTGTGTGAGATGGGTGGCTATAAATAAATATTAACCATTGGAGGAAAGGGCTCTCAAAGGCACTTTCTAACAAATGTGCACAGAACTATAGCCTTACATCAAAACACCACGTCTTTCGTTTATATATGGACCACATTTGCTCTATTAGTTGTGCATAGATGCATTCCAAAACATGGTTGGAGTCAAGAAAATGCTAAATTTTATTTAATTTGTAATTAAACTTCACTGATCTTAAATCAAATTAACGATAGTGAATATGATTGTTTCTCAAGTTTGATCTTTTTTCTGGTCACATTAACAACTAAAATTTGGTATCAATTTTTAGGACTCTACTAAAGTATTTATGGATGCATATAGCAATGGGGGTTATACATTTTTCTCTTAAATACATAGTAACCATTTTCTTGGATTGGGGCCATCCTTTGTTGTTCCAAGCCAAGAAACCTCTTATTTATATTTTGTATTTATATTTATATTAGGGACCACCTTGATTAACATCAGTGGAATAGATATCAATTTATAAGATGCATTAATTGAACAAAAACATATGACAAGAAATTGTTTGTGAAAAACAAATATCCTAGGCAAATTATTGTTAGTAACCAGTCACCATAATATACAATATTTGCTTTAGTTACAAAACAATAACATGGCAATGAATGAATCCCCACAAGCATTTCTGTGCTTTGTACTAGCCTCTTCATACCTTGAAAATACTAATTATACATTGGAAGGAGAACCTTTTCCATCTGTGGCTACTACTTCTAAATCCAGGTTTCCAACAGCCTGATTATCTTGTTGACATACATAATTTTCAGGAGCAAAATACAGTATGGTATTGTGCATTTACATAAAGTTCACTTTAATGGAATTGTGTTATTTCCCTTTAACTTACAAAAATAATTACCTTGACACACTACCTTAGGAACTAATGCTAAAATTAGTGGTGGTGTTCCTCCCTTGCATTTTTCCCAGGGCCTCACAAATACTTTGAATTTAAGAGGACAAATTTAACAGTCTTTTAACAGTCTGGCCATTAGGCAGCAAATGGTATCCCTTTTTACCACTCTTTTCCACAGGACAGGAATAATTCTACCCGCTTCAGCTCCATTTGCAACTCATGGCAAAATGCCCACAAGACTTCAATAGAACAGGATTTGGTATTTTACAGGATACTGCCAGGTGCAGGCTATAACGTGGAAGAGCATAAATGATTTGGATGCAGTGGGGAGCTATAGCACAGCAGCTTGCCATGAGAAACAGTTTAGACATTAATTCAGCAAGGAGACTAGCACTCCTGTAATTAGGGCTTAATTGGATGCTTCTTCAAGTTAAATGCATGCACACATGCTTGAATACCTTGGCGAATGAGCCCAGAGCAAAAGCATTTCTCTTTCCAAAGAATTCTCATGTTCCAAAGGCTGTATTCTATGTTTTGCTTTGCATTTTCCAAAATTTATCTCAGAGATGTATGGTCTCCCTCCACATTCTTAATGCAGAGCTCCTTTCTTGAGCACTCCAGCAGCAGCTTTGTGATACGGCTACCAGATCTGGCCTGCAAAACTCCACATAACCACTGGATGGCACCAAAGGGTTAGTGTTTGAAAAATGGGTAGTAACAAACTCAAAGAGGAAATACAAATCACACCATAAAATATTTATTATGAAACAAGGTTTTTTTTCCACTTGTAAGAATCACTCAAATGCTCTTTAAGAAATTTAAAAAATTAAACCAAACATTAACAATATTTTACTTATTTTACATGACGTATAAAACACCACATCACAAACCATTTTTATTACAACTCAAAAGCCTTTCCCTGTATATACATACATACACATTATGTTTTTCCCTTTCAGGGTTAGCAAAGTTATGCAGAGCACAGAAAAGAAGACCTAATAAGTCAAAGAGATTGAAAGAATTACATAAGAAAAAGAAAATGCAACTAAAACTAGCTTACATAATACTATTCATTTCACCTCTCTGCTTTTCTATGCTTGCATACATCCTTGCTTACATCATATTCATACATTGCCTTTTGTTCTTTATACTTCTCACGTTTTTTGACCTCATCAATTGACCTAAGACAACTTTGTTGGTCTTAGCCTCTCAACCCATTCATTCTTACTTCATACTTTAATTTTGCAATCTGATCCTTGTTAGTTCTCGCCATATGTACATACCACCTCAAGATACTTCTTTCATCCTGGTCACTCACGTTCATATTCAATAACATTCGTTTATCAATTTTTACCTTCTCTTGTTTTATCCCACAGCTCTTAAGCACACCATTCCCACTGCATCACACATCCTTGACTTACTTCCTGTTTAGTGTTGAACCATTTGCTAATTGTCCCATTTATTCTCACACATGCTATATTTCTATCGTATACCACTATTATGACATTCAGCAACAATGCTCAATTCCTAATTCAAGCCTTAATCTAAATCAACAAATATACAATAAACTTTCTCACATTCATACATTTCTCAATGAAAAGCATATCCCAATCCCTTGTAAATTAGTTTCTACAATATTTAACTTATTTTTTTTTCCCAAACAAGTAAACAAAGATTCACCTGATTTTCATGTAAGTTACAGGACATGTGCAATGAATTTTGGGAAGAGAAAGTGCAGTTCTATGCACTCAGAAGCAAACCCAACTGGTATCAACTGGACTTACTGGACTTCTAGTTCTGTATATAAAGGATTGCAGCCCAAGACCACTGACTTTAGTTTCAGCTAGAAAGGCCTAATCTACCTCCTAGAAGATAATGAATCTAACCCAGTTAGCTCCAAAGCACTTCCCATTTCTAAGACAAATTCATACTGATCCATTCAGAACAAGGAGGTCTGAACAGCATTTTCAAGCTAAGAGCTAGATTTGTTAATCAAATGCAATAACTGCCAAAAACCTTTATAAGAAATGATAAATATACTGTAACACTTTGGAGGTGACGAGATACTGTAGATGGGATCAGTTGGAATAGTGCAATATCCTTTCTGGGTTCAATGCCATTTAAACTTTTTTAACTTCCACAAAAAAAACCTCTCCAATCCTGCAGAAATATTTTGCTAACAAAACATTTTTACATGGAAGTCTGTGGACTCTCACATTCCCATCTTAAGTATTTCTATATCGTTACTGTTAATTTCTGATTCTCCTGGTGGTTGCCAATTTAAATCTTCCTCTGGACTCCATGTTGAAAGCTGTGCAGGATTTTCCATGTATGCAATTATTTGGACTGCTTTTATTCATGTTAAATATGAATCCCTTTTCTCAGGTCCAAGTCAAGTCTTGTGATGTAGATGTGACTTCTGTATTTCAATCAAATGTAACGGGAGTTAGGAACAGGTTGGATGAAGTATTGGCTACAATCCACAAATCTCATGCTATTGATATTCCCAAATGCAGTTTTCAAGGGCTGTAGTAGCCTTTGGGAGCAAATTCAGTGAACGCTGAAATTCACAGGTCAGTTAAACAGATATTGGGGCTTTTGTGGGTATTTTAACTGGAATAAATTATTTACTATGATCTGAAAATGCCTGAGATAAATAACATTTCTGCAAAATGCTGAATGTTCTTGACCATGGCCATAATCCAGAGGACTGCACAGACATCTTCATGCTCCTGAGGGGGTATGTCACAGTGGCTGAATGCTTAGTGAGAACATTTTGAAAGGCAATTTTTAATGGAGTAATGAGAACTTGCTATTTGGAAGGGGAGATTATGAAATAAATCCCAGTTTCCTTGCTTCTGCACCGAGCATGGCTGGTTCAGTTCCTTACATCCCAGTCTATAAATCAAAAGTTCAAGTCCATTGGAAAATAAACATTGTATGAATAGGAAAAGAAAACATCTGAAGCTGCCACATATGAGGTCAGATTATTTGTCCATCTTTATTGGCTCTCCAGATTCTGCAGCAGACGATCTCTCAGATCAACTGCTACAGAACTCTTAAAAAGAGAGGGGGGGAAAGATGGATGTCAGGATTTGAATATGGACTTCCTACTGTGGAATGACTACATTTTTACCACTGAGCTAAGCATTAATTTCCTAGGACTATGTAACGAACAAGCATTGCACCATTTAGCCTACTACTGTGAAGCATGATTGTCGGTGCAACATGAAGAGTAATTGTACTTAGGACAAAAAGGTAAGACAAGATACTCCTAAAATATTGTCTTGTCACATTACAAAGTGTTTTCTATTCTCTAGGCAAATACTGCTGACCGAGAAGTACCTGAGGGGCATTTAATCACTCATCCACGCAAGCTTGGCAACAGAAATGTAAGTGCCTCCTTCAGCATAATTCTTAGCCTTTATGAATTATACACTGGAAGGGAGGCATTACTAGAAATGCTACCTTCATACAGTTTTTTGCAACACCAGGTATAAATACTGTCTGACATGCATGGGTTTTCCAAAATTATTTACAAAGTGTTGTTTTGTACAGTTTGTTGCTTTTACTACTCCTTTGCTTGATGCGTCAGTGGGACTGGTTTGGTTTCCTCCTTCCTTCCTTTCTTAAAGCTACACAGTCACTGCTGGGTACATTTTCTGTTCACTATTGCTGTGGGGATATGGCGATTGAATTGGCCTGTACCCACTCTGCAGGCTATCCAGAAAAGGTGGGACAGAGGCCATGGGCATAGAGTCATGTTGCACAGCATACCCCACATACTGGGGGTGCAAATACTGCCCTTGATGAGGCACTATCTGTGTAGCCTGCTGGCAGTTCAGTACTGAGAAATTAGTTGGCATGTTGACATATACATTATTCATGGTCCCCTCTGGTAAACAGCAGTTAGTTTGTGATCTGGTGGGGGCAGCCCTGGCACCAGAGTTGGCACTTGAACTGGAGCTGGCAGCTGTGCTTGATTGACGTGAGGATGATCCGCGGGAGGTGCTGGCACTTGGAATCATGGGGATTGTCTCCATTATCCTATTCCCTCCAGGAGCTCGGCTCTGCTGGGGTTCTTGCTTGGGTCGCAGGCACCGGCAACAGCAAGCAGCTACGAGGGATCCCAGGATGATGAATGCCACGAAAACAGACCCCACAATAAGGAATGGCACATAAATAGGCACTGCCAACAGAAGAGAGAAGCTTGTGAAGAGATTTTCTACCAGTACAAAATACAGATTATACGATAATGAGACATTTGCTACTAACTTTTCTTACCTCCAACAAGAGAAAAGAAAACAAGGAACTGCTAAAGCAGTTTCCCCAACCCTACTGAACCCCAGGTATACTGTGTACCAAAAGAGCTGAGCATGTGGCTGAGAATGATGGGAATTCAATATGCCTGGAAGGAACCAGGTTTGGAAAACACTAGCTTTGAGTTGTTACACAAATGCAATAGGTCCTGGAATCAGAAACTATTTAAGGCCCAGAATGGCACCATACATGACAAGTTCTCCCTTCTTTCCCTCCATTACCTGTAACAACTGAAATAAATGATACAACTTCATGCACTAATTTCCCTCTTGACATCCCACCCCATCGTTATTCCTGCTCTTCCTCTAGCTCATGACAAGGTGCTTGGGAGATCTCCTTATTTCATCTTGACAAGAAGCCTGTGAAATAGGTTGGGTTGACAGCACTGCCTGGCCCAAAGTGAGCTCCATAGTCAGCTGGGTATCTGAACCTGAGTCTACAATTCCACTGAATCTAACTTAGGTAGACACATCTAGAATTGCACTATTCAAGGCAAAAATTAATAAAGTTAATAGAAGTAAGTTTAATAAAATATTGAAGTGTAGTGTGATCTCTACTAATGTCAATGTGATTTGTACATATACATAACGGTCAAGCCCTACTCCTGTTGCTTCTGGAGAAACTGTACTTTGTTGTTACTAATCAGAAGTAGTTTGCCATTGCCTTCTTCTGGATTCACCCCTAAACAAATCTAAATGAAATTAATAACTTTCTGCAATATGCAGAGTTTTCAGGAATAAAAAAAGGGCAAACTTTTGAGTCAAACTCAGCTCCTGCTAACTACATGAACACAATATCAGAACAGGTTGCCTTTCATTTCTTTCAGAATATTTTATTGTTTTCCCAGTTTAGCTTACAGTTGAAATTCTTAGATGATTCCCCATTCAAATACTACCTGGGGCTAAGCCTGTTTAGCTTTCTAGATCACCCAAGGTTAGTTAGTTGAATAACTAGCCCCAATTACAATATACCTTCTGATGAATTCATAAATTTCAGGAAAAAAACTGCTGGAAAGTTTTTCTCAAACAGAAGTCAAAAGGCTAGGTTTAATTCTGGAATATAAATCACACATAGGCACGATTCTAAAGTAATGCTATTTATTCATTCATTCATATTATAACACCTAGGTTAGATTCTTATATGAACTGCTGTATTACTTTTGGTCCTTTTTGTTAAAAAGTTTAATTTTTTCTAAAATTTTCTTCTTTTTAATTAGTAGATCAACTTAAAATAGTGTTAGTGGAATATGCTTCTCTGAGACACCATTTATTTGAGATGTTATAGGAAATGCCACCATCTAGAAAGCAAGACAAATATATTTGCTCTTCCTATCATGGAGGACAAGGGGAGAAATGAAAGTTCAACATTTCATAAAGTATGAAAGAGATTCTGGGTAAGATTAACGATGACTTAAGACATGTCTACTTTTTCCCACTTTTGCCAATGAGTCTGAGTCAATATAGCCAATGGCAAGGGAATTGAGGTTCATAACATCTGGAGGGCATCAAGTTACCTACCATAGGTCTAGAGTATGCTGCTCTGGAATTTCTGCAATTTGAAGAGAATTAGCAATTAAAATCAGGTGTTCTTTCTGGCACAGAAGAGAAGCAGTCTCCCCAGAGTATTCCTTAAATGCACACCGCATCAGGCCAAAGTAGTGTTTCCTTTCAAGGATATTTTTTTAAAAAGCTGAAGGGTAGAGCCTCCCAATGTCCCATGACTTTCATCATAAGACAGAGCATGCCTTGGCTATCATACTGTTGTATGAATCCAGCCAGTATGATTATTAATGGTTCAGTGTGTTATACAAATGCAGAAACTTAAGTTTAATGAATTAAACTATGATTCTGGTAGGCATGTTGTATAAACATAATTGGTGACTAAGAGATGGAAGGAGGGACAGTTTGGTGCAGTGGTTTAGGCATCAGGCTGGAAACTGGTAGAACATGAGTTCTAGTCCTACCTTAGGCAAAAAGCCAGCTGGATGATTTTGGGCTAGTCATTCTGTATCAGCCCTAGGAAGAAGGCAATAGGAAACCACTAAAACTTCAGGGAATAGTCCAGGCAGTCACCAGAAGTCAACACTGACTTGAAAGCACAAAAAAGGTATGGAAACAGGAAGTCCCAGCTCAGTTCTCTAATCTAAACAAGTAGATTTGCCAGTTTCCCCTCACATGGTGCTCTTCACATATTTTACACCACAGTTACCATCATACCCAGTCACTGGGCACACTATGTCTGAAAAGAGTTGTATCCCAAATATCAGACTGGAGAAAGCTAAGGCAATTCAGCCATCCATTAGCCTTCATCTCTCATCTGCAATATGAGAATAATAATACTGACCTACCAAACAAGATTAAAGTAATGTATATGAAATGCTTTGATCACTGCACAGAGCTTGGTTAATGCTAAAATAACCCTCATATGCAATTAAGTAAATCATCCAAAATCCATATTAAGATAATACCCTTATTTGAGCAACTGAGGATTTACAAAATAGTTTCAGGCTTTCAGGCTTTCAAGAACACTTTTACATTGTTTACGCAACATGCTATTATAAAATGTGGTTGGCTAGTATGTCCTGTGAACATAGCATTAATTAAGGAAGATTATTAAAATCTGGAGGGAGGGCAGGAATGAAAAAATGTTACAGTTAATATTTGGGACATTTTTGTGGCAGATTACATTTTTTAATCCATGCAAACTTTTTAATCCATCACTTTCTGATGTGGTTTTAGGTTGTACCAAGGATTCTCCCAAAACTTGCTGGAAAGCGGAATCAGATAATAGCAGGTCCCTAGTTTCTGAAGTATAAAATCCAACCTGAAAAAAAAAAGCTTGTAATTATTTTGTAAATTTTCATTTCTCCTAATGCAGATATTGCCTCAACATGAATTTTAGGTTTTCTTTTTGATAGCCAACAAGGCTGCTATTGTGTTTTTTGCTTACTGTTTATTTTCAGGCAAACACTGAATGGAGAGGGTCCATGCATAAAGGGAGAAGAACCTGGAAGAGGGACCCCCCTCCAAAAAAGGGTTTTCAGCTGAGACCCCCTATCCCAAATTTCAGCCAACCTATCTTCTAACTGTGCAGGAATAAAAATTCCTAAACTAATTTGTTGGGGATAAAACAGTTGATTGGTCAACAGAGCTCTGAGTCAGATCTCCAGAACAATCAGGTCCCAGGAATATCAATCTTCTCCTGTACCTAGCTAGGTGGCAGCAACTGGCTGACCTTAACTAGGCTTAGAAACTAAATCCAGCCAGACTCAGTTAATATTTTGTTGGGAGACCATCAAGGAATGGTACACCACTCCCATGTTGTTGCCAAAACTACAGGATAGGGACTGTACATGAAGCCATCGAAATTCATGCTCAACTTGAAGATTTTTTTTACCTTCCCTTCTACTCAATTCAGATAGACTGCAGCTCGGCAAAGCACAACTGATCAAGGTTGGAAAACTTAGTACAGCTATACAGCTATTTATATGCAAAGGAGAACAGCTGATTCAGAGCATATGGAAGCACCTGTCAGCTATTTCTTAAAAGCTGCTGCACCTTTTCCTAAGTGAAAAACATGTTTAAGGAGCTGCTGACAGGGTTGAGCATGTGTCCATGTGCACCCTGAATTACCTTTTCCCCTTCAAATCCAGATCACACAATCCTACCTTCTCAGCTTGAAATGCTGCCCTTCATTTGAAGCTGAGCAGAATGGGTTCTGTCTCTCACTGGGTTCATATACCAAGCTAAACTGAAAATGTTATCTGCTTAATTTTACCTCAGTGTTTTTTGTGAACCCAGTTCTCTGTGATATAGTCTATAAGCCATGACTTGGTTTTACTTGAGGGACAGGAAAATTAGAGGACCTGGATGCAAGTTTAGGAAATGGGAGAAGCTGGTGCAGAGTGGCAACAGCAACTGGATGAGGCAGAATGTAGGAAACAAGGATGAGAGATGGCAACAAAGACAAAGTAGGTAGGTGCTACTTAAATTTATCAGCAGCTAGGAAGTGATCAGGATTTGCATATGGGATATGTTGATGGCTTAATGTGAGATCCCTGTGAAACTGCTAGCAACTGGAACCGTGCAGCAGTCTTTATTCCAGAAATTGGGAGGCATAGCTGAGAAAAGACAAAGCTGCTTTGAAGACCTGCAGATAGGCATCTCAAGGGCTCAAAAACACTTTTTTGGAAAAGAATGAAATTAATCCTGGCTCAAAACCTCTAGGTGCATCCTTTCATCAAAAGTCTCTAAGCACCTGAAAGTCTCCAAGCAAAATTCTCACAAGGCCACATTTTAGAGGAGATGCTTCCTTATTGGCTCAGACATCTGCTTTGGAGCCCAATTGAAACTATATTCCTAGGGCTTCTTATCCCCACTAGGATTATTATATTAAGTACTGTTATCATCAGCATCCCAGTACATATGGAAAAGCCTCTACTGTGGAAAGTTTACCAGACCTGAAGGCCTACAAAAAGTGTTCTGGCAGCAGGACTTTAATGCAGGACTCCAACTCCAATCCCAACTAAGAGATTACCCTCCCCCAAATGGATGAAGCAAGTGAAATAATATATATTTTTCTTTAAAAGCGGACCCCACCCCACAAAACCATTCACCAGAGTCTAAAATTACTTAACGGAACCACTAATGGATATGGATATCCTGTTAGGTGGTTTGCATTTATAACAAGCTTTTGGCATATGAAGACCCCAGTTGAATTGAGAGATCCAGTCTTCCATCTATAACTAAGGCAACTGATCAAGCTGGGCTTGTCCAGAGGACCCTACTGAGGACTGACTATGAAGAACAGCACTAATATAATAATGTTATTGGGGATTATACAAATGTAATACATAATCCAACAGAAATACACAAATACGGGCACATAGAAACACATCATGAGTTTTAGATGACTGGTTAAATTAATGCATTAGACTTGCATTTAAGTAAAAAAAATAGTTCCCAAGGAAAAGGAATTTTTATTTATCTCCCACTTTTTCTCCAACAGCTCAAGTACTTTCTTCTCCATTTTACACACAACAACCCTGTGAATTAGGATGGGCAGAGAGAAAATGACTGGTGCAAAATGACAGAGTGAAGTTTCTGTGGCTAAAGGGGGATTTGAACCTGACTCTCCCCAACTCTTGTCCAACAATACTTTAACCAACATACCACACTAGTTAAATTACACTGTTATTTCACAGCAAGCTTCTGCTTAAAAGATCCTCCCCCCCCCCCCGCTCCAAATCCCTGTGACTTTTATGGTCTACTGCATTCATAGTTAACTCTGCAATCCAGCAAGGTAGCATTCCTTTAAAACTATGCCTTAACAGAATATTACTCTTTTGGCTTTTAGCCCCTGTGTTTATTAACAAGTTGTTTTTTCACTTTATGTTCTCAAAAACAAAGAGACACCCCACACACACACCATTACTTCTTTGACAGTATGCAGTTTACCATACAGGTCATTAATATTACAACAAAACACCACAAAATGGATTACAGAGATCAGCTGCAGGATTACTTTAAAGATACGGTCCAGTCATGTTTCCAGTGGGGTAGTTCAACAAGCATTTAACTGTGCATTTTTGCTCAAAAATCAGGGAATGGAAATAAAACCTTATACATGCTAAGTTAGACTAATTAGGTTAAATGGGATTCACTCCCAGCTAAATGACTGTGCAAAGGCAGTTTGCAGGCTTTTAAAACCGAGACATTATCAACTCAGTTACCTGCCACTGGTCATGTGCTTATACCATGAAAATCTTTTTTCTTGTCTCTTTTTATGACTGTTCCCTTTTCAATCCCTGCTCTTAACACACAAAATTATAGTTACATTTTCAGTTGCCTTCTGCACCATGATGTTCTTCATGCTGTTGAGCTATGATGTATTTCTCAGTCCTGAAACTTACGCGATTTACTGCAGCTCAGAAAACATCCCAGAATAGTGACTTCTGACACTGAAAAATCTGCTGAGTGTACATCCTATGACAGTTTCTCAGATTATTTGGGTCACAAAAGTTTAGGAGGAAAAAAGAATGAGGACACTGAAACATCAGAACAATAAATGGAGCTTTGCACATGGATGAAAGACATTTTTTTTATGCACTGTGATGATGGTACAGTAATTGTTAAGGGGATTTTGAGGGAAGCAGCTTTGGAAAACTTTTCTGGAAGTTTCAGAAAGTTTCACAGGTGGGATACCTGTAAATATATACTACAAAAGGCTTGTTTTGAAACTACTGTCCCTAACCTTTACACAAAAGCCAAGTTTAAAGGCATTCCTGAACTTAGGATAACTACACAAATATTAATGTTGAGTATGCTTGGCAGCATGCTCTAAACTTCTTGTTATGTGAGTAAATACAAAGAGGCTAAATAATATGCATTTCAATTTAAAATGCATATTTTCCATCCCATCACAATATCCATATGTATCCAAATAACCCAAATGTTTTGTGTTAGATCAGAGCCTGTTCTTATGTCACTTTCACGTTCTCTACGTTTAGAGTTTTTAAAAAGGCATCATTCGCACATTCCATTCAATGAATTATCACTTCGGTGCTACTGAAGTCACAGAGGAAAATATCCAGTCTTGCCATGTGCTCCTACTGCTGAGTCAGGTAAACAGGTAGATCTGTTTTGGCTGCCACCTGGTGCCAAAGGTGGAGCTAGATAGAGCTGGATCTAAAGGCTAAAGCACCCAGGAGAGAATCAAGGACCAGAGGTGAAGCAAGATAACCCACCAGCCGAACAACATCCAAATTACTCAGCAAGTTACAGTCTCAGATTGGCTGATTGGGCAGTACCTCACACTGGCTCATCATATTCATTTATCTATTATCAGAAGTACTATCTTCTATAATAAATGCATATTCCCAAGTAAAATGGGGCCCATTGCTCTTTAAGTTGTGTACTTCCCAACATGAATACTACACCGGCTATCTAAAGGAAATATGCAAAATCACCAAATCCCAAAGGGAAAAAGGAAAGTTGGGAGACGAAGAAGAGCCATGCAACTGTGAGAATACCAGGCTTCCCACTTCGTACCTGCTGTGCTATCTGGCACGTCTTTGTCCGGCCGGCCATGCTCCGCTCCGCCCTGCTGTCTGTCGTTGTCGCACATGCCCTGATCCAGGCGGACCTCCGGGCGAGAGCAGCAATAGCGAAGCGCACAGGTGCCGCAGCAAATGGTGGCGTCGCCGTCGTCAAAATGCTCCGGGCACTGGAAACCTTCCCGCCAGGACGCCCCGTCCTGCCAGCCGTGGCAATACTCGCCGCTGGCCAGCGCCCCCTTCGCCGTCAGTCCAACCAGCAGCAACAGCAGCAGCAGCAGCAGC